TCCTTCGATTAAGTATCCTTTCGATTCGTACTTTGTAGTTGTAATACCTCGGTACATAATAATTGTCGATCTTTTCCCACAGGCCATGCACAGACAGGCGAAAAAGCATGGGCTGGCCCAGCACATGAGGGATAAGACAGGGGGAGTGAGTAAACTGTTACGTATGCTCGCAGCCATACCCCACCTTGAAGCAAAGTACATTAGGGAAGCATTCGACATGATCGTTAGACGGACAACTGGCCTGAAAGACGCGACGCCCGCCGAACTGACTACACTACTAGTATTCCTGAACTACTTCAGTAAAGAATGGATTGACGGCAACAAGTCAGAGGCGTTATCACTCTGCAAACGTCACTTCCATACGACGAGCAGGCAAGAGTAACTCCACAGAAAACTTAACACCATGCTCAATAACTATAGCCGTCCCAGGTTTTGGAAATTTTTAAGTAAGTTTTCAAACTTTCCACTGGTTATGCCGCCCCCTTACTTTTTTGTCCAGATTACTGTTTTTTCTTCGTTTCTTTCCACAGCACTTATACGACGAGGAATATCACAACCTTCACACCACACTAAAGACTGGACACAAGACTAGGAAACACAACACCAAGAGTCTAAAAAAGAAGCAATCCAACCACAGGGGACTACATTTTGACAAAGACATTAAAGACGCCTACACTGACTTCGAACTAAACGAAAACCTAAGTAGCTTCCTCACACTGGCAGCAAAAAATCTGCGTCAGCAAGACTTTAGCGATGATTTGGAGCTTCCCGAATAAGTACATATTATTGGCTGAGCGATAGCGAAGTCTGTTAGCGATGATATTGGCTGAGCGATAGCGAAGTCTGTTCCTCCAGTGATACACCATTCCGGTAAACCGAAAACAAAGAAGAAGAGACGGAAGAAGCAAAGCGTTCTATGAGAAATATACGGTGCGCCTAAGAACTCTTGAACATAATCCATCGTAAACTAGATATTCTGCGTCGCCTGATAGTGAGACTTATTGTCGTTAACTCTCAGACGAATTTAGACATCAGTCAAGTCACGTTTGACCTTTGGATACGACCGCGGAACCGACGCACCACCGTATATTTCTCATACTCGCCTTTGCTTCTTTCGTCTGTTCTTCTTGTTTTTCGCTTTACCGGAATGGTCTATTGGCTGAGCGATAGCGAAGCCTA